CGTGTGGACGCTCTTCATCAGCCTCTCGTTGAGCTCGAACAGCTTCATGATGACCGAGTCAGCCTTGTCAAGCTTCCCTTGAGGGCCTCGCACTTGAAGACCACTTTCCTCTTTTTCCCTTCTCAGTCGCCTCCAACTTGCTCTTGATTTCCTGCACCGTAATCTAAGGACTTGCAAGCTTCTGCACATCCCAGAGCTTGATCGTCTTTAGTGTAGGGATCGAATATCTGTGGTTTGCTGCAGCCGAAACCTTGTTCAAGACGATGTATTTGGTGAGAAGGGCGTTGTCGGCCTCTGTGATCTCGGACATGGGTCCGCGTCTGTTGCCGGTGGCACACATTTTTGGACTGCAGGGTTGTGTGTTTGGATTGTTGAATAATCTCAAACATTCGCCATCGGAGATGAAGTCCACGGTGGAGATGGTGATGGTGACAAAGAAGAAAAATACATTATTCACCCAATCAATACAATCAAGACTTGAGTAAGCAAAACCCATAAACAAAACTTCAAAATCTAGGGTTTAAAGTCGAGAAAAATAACCATCGAGATTGCAAAGGAGAAAAAAAAAATATAAAATCCATACCTTGATGATTCTACGGGGTAAATTATTGTTGGCCATCGGATCGACTTGCAGAGCTATCTTCATCCGTCTGAGAAAGAGGCCCTGGTCCGCATTCTCGACCACTCCCACCAATCGATGGCACCATTAAATTCTAATAAATTTCCGAATCGCCGGCGATCGAATCAGAGGGGAACGACCGAAGGGTGGAATTTGGATGTAAGGCGAGCCATTAACCGTGGAGACTCGGCTTGGAGTCCACCTCGATGGCTTTGTTCGCAATGACCGGCGGCCACTCGGATCTAGCCCTATCGACGGCGCGGCTGCAGCCTGACGGATCACCGGCGAGGCTGGGCGGAGGGATTTTAAGTGGTTCATAGAGTTTTAGATGAAGACGAAGGTTGAGAAGGTAATTGCTTCTGCTTGGGTAGGGTTTGCGAAGAGGGACGGGTTTGCTTCTGCTTTGGGTAGGGTTTACCTGCTCCTGTCTCTGTCTCTGATTGCGTGAGCCAAAATTCTGGAAAAGAAGAAAAAAATGTTGCTATATCTCTTGACTTGCGGGAATTCCGGACAACAAAAGGAAGAAATAATTCGCAGCGTTAAAAAATAAAAAATATAATAGAAATAGAAAAACTCAAATAAGGAGAAGAATCCCACGACGCCGTTTTGACTCAAATGAAGAGCAAAGAGCTATGCCATGTGTCGGCAAATAAAGGGCTCAAGCTGTTTTCTTATAAGATAGAGGGAGATGTGGGAAGGAAATTATGGGAGCTTTTGCTGTTTTTCTTTTTTTTTTTTTTTTTATGTAAGATTATTTTCAACCCTTGGATGTATTTTTCATTATTCTTAATCCAAGGGTTAGATATGTAACTACTGGGGCTGCTGTTAGTCGCTCACAGCATTCATTTTTATTTTTTATATTGAAATAACTTTGCAAAATTATTAATAACATGTATTTTTTAATGTTTATAATAATACATTTATACATATGACATATATATATATATATATATATATTATATTACTAAAAAATTCTATAGGGGCCCGTGCCCCTACGGGCCCCTATGTAGGTCCGCCTCTCGCAGCAGCCCCCTTGACCCAGTTTTGTTCAACATCCGCCAGCTGAAACAGCTGTGTTTTCTGAAAACCGCTAAAAATGTCATCTTCGTCGAACTTGTGGGTTCTGCTCGGTCTTGGGATTGCGGGAATATTGATCATGACGAAAGCTGATTTTGGCGCGTTTATGGAGCGGTTGCAGCTGTTGCCCCCACCACAGCCCGCGCCGCCTAAAGCACCTCATCCTCTTACCGGCCTTTCTTTTGCGGTCTCTGACGTGTAAGCATCCTTAATTTTAGTTTTACGTGGTACAGTTTTGCGATTAATGTTGTTAGAGTTATTAATGGCTGATAGAGTTTTATGAGTAATTCTTGGCGTGTTTTTCTTTTGGGTGGTAATTTTTTTGTGTTCTATTTTGTATTTGTCGTGTGTTTGAATAGCGTTGTGTTGTTGATATGATTTTAATGTATGCTTTTTGAGAGTTGAGTGACAACTGACAAGAGAGTATCCAATGGTGCATTGTTTGCTGGTATTGGGGTTAGTAGAATTCTAGTCACCGTGGATTAGGATTAAGTCGAATTTGACGAGGTTATAGATATGGCAATAAATTCCAGCTTTGATTTGTTAGATAATGAAAGAATGATATCTCTTGCCGGCCACCGGATAGGAGTTGAAGTATATATTTGGTTTTATCTCACGTAGAACTTAATGCTTGCTGTTCAACTTGGATTCCCAATGTTCCTATGGTATTAGCTCCATAACCTTAATGTCAAATTTGTTGACAGATTTGACATTGAAGGATTTGTTACTGGATTTGGCAACCCTGACTGGTCCAGGACTCATGAGGCTGCTACGCGTACATGTCTTGCTGCTGCCGCCCTTGTTGATGGAGGCGCTACATGTGTCGGAAAAACCGTTGTGGATGATATGGCATTGGGGTAATTACTTATCCTCACCCTACTTGTTAAAATTTCAGATTTCCAGAATGAGTACGGCCTCTTTTCTCTCCATGTATTTTCTGATTAAGTATTCTGTCTCCTCTTATTACAGTGTGAGTGGAGAAAGCAAGCATTATGGTACACCAACTAATCCTGCCTCACCTGAAAGAATACCAGGGGGAGCCTCCAGTGGTGCTGCTGTAGCTGTTGCAGCTAAACTCGTTGATTTTTCTTTGGGTGGGTTTCTGCTTCTCACTGATGAAAATTTTCCTTATTGACTTGACTTATCAGTGTATGAATGTGACAGATTTACAAGTCCTATTGTCGCAACGTATAGGTCATATGTTGCATGAATTACAATGAAAGGTTCTGGCACAGTGATCACATCTATCCTCGTCTAAGTTTCAGTTTGCATGTTTAGTGAGATTAATGTGGGAGACATATACCATTCATGTTCAATGTGAGGTTTTCGTGTA